AGGCTATCTCGGCCTCGGCCGCTTCCATTTTGAGTGCAATGCTAAATCACTGGAGTACCCCTTTAAAATTCCGGTTTCGTATCCAGTTTGCAAATGTCAACAGGGCACAACCTGTCCCTTAAAATCCATTCATCAGCTCATGAGCTACAACGCAGCAGTATCCTACCACTGACCTCAAACATCAGCTGTAGACAAAACTAAAGCAGCCCCAGAGGAGAAAGCTTCCTCGTATTTCCCCCGGGGGGGCTCTAACATCACCTTGAACTCAGCAGAGGACTGTGTGAAGCCTTGCCAGGCCTATGAACATGACCTGGGGAGTGCTCGTCAGGGGTGGAGGGGTGGGCGGGAGGAGGCAGAGGATGGAGCGAAGATGAAGGGGATGCTGCTGCCTCCATCACAGACAAGACAAACGACGCACAGACAGATGGCACTTGACATTGCTGCCATGTTCAGTTAGTTTCCAGTTACAACACGCTGACTCTGGATCAGCGGATGCTTAAGTCACACAATAAATGATACAACGTCCTGACCGCTGAGCGATCTTTGCCACAACAGAACCTCCGCCACAATCGTTCGTATGATTAAAAATCCACATTTTCATCATAAACAGCATATGGGTTACGGATTAAGTCACAGTTTGGGTGTTTTTTCAATGGCCACATGGTGGTGGTGTAACTCATGAGGGAGGGGTGGAGAGGACACAGGGCCAAGGGGCCAAAGATTGAAGTCATCGGCTAGTAAACCACATCAGTCATGTCTAAATCAGTCAGTTCATGATATCTCCACCGCAGTTACTAATAGTATATGAAACATCCAGGGTGATGGAGACACAGCGTCAGACTGCAGTTGCCAAGGCCTGACCTTGAACTGAAAGCAAATTGGACAGTATCAACCATTAACTGACACGTGAGGTAATAAGGAGGCATACCGGGAAATATAATATATGATGATCTCTTCAACAAAGGATGGAACAACAGGTGGTGATATGGATTTACAACGTATCAGGGTCACACAAGAGCTGTCTGGTGTTATGACGTGACCGTAAAGGGAATCAGCTACAGCTAACGGTTTATGTTTAATTTGAAGGGAATGGATTTCAGGTTGAGTCAGTATACATGTTGTGTAAGTGTAACTTTTAATTTGTATTATTGTGAGAAGAGGTCAGGCTGGAGCTGATTGCATTACATGTAGTTGAAAAAAATCAATAGGAAACATCTTTTTTATAATTTAATATGTTTACATCAAAACTCAGGATAATTACTGGCAGGAAGAAAACCGACTGATAACCTCAAAATTACATAAATACATATACATGTGTATATACACATGTACGTATATATACATACACTTTTTTTTTTTTTACCAAATTCTCTATAGAAATGCATTTGTCACATCAGACAATTCATCCAAAAATAGATAATATCCCACAATTCAATTTCCAATTGTATTTATTATATATTCATATTTTCTTTTGAAGATTGGTGCATTTCAACATAGTTCCCATTTGGACCCGAACACAGAATATGATCATCTGAATCATTGTATTGGTCCACAAGTTTGCATTATTGAATTGTTGGATCCTCCTCCTATCAATCTCATTTTGTTGGTGTTATAGGTTTGTGTTGTATGTTTGTAGTTTTTCTTATGATTTAATGTCGGATTTATCAAAACAATGTAAGTGTTGTATCAAGATTGGTGCTCTACTTTTTGTCTTCTTAAACTATAAAAGAGTTTCCATTTGACTGACAATTTGAATGTCTAGAAAATATGACAAATCGATCTGATGCAATTGTTTTTAAATAGAAAGCAATCGTACTGTCCACCAGAGTTTTAAATGCCAATGAAGTTTAGAGATTTTACAGATTTCGACATCACAGATCTTGTAACTCTATATGAACCGGGGTGTGTGGTAAGATCCTCAAACAGGTCCTTCTGGCTGTCCAGAGCTCCAGATTAAAGGCAGCGGGAGCGGGCTTTTTCTTTTGGAGCCTGGAGACTTTGGAAGAGCCCGTCTGGTCAGGCCAGTTCATTGTGTGTCCTCATTTGAATTCTGAAAACTCACTTTCTCTTTCTTCATTTGTGAAAAGTTTTATTTGATTTCACTTTATTCAAATGTTTTACACATTATTTCACTGGGTTATGGATGGAGACGTTTTTCTATTTGTATGTCTGTGTTCATTTATATACATTGGTATGATGCAGTCAAATACAATTACACATAATGTGTATTATTTTTTATTCATATGTGTATCTATATGTCAATAGTTATATATTTTTTGAAACTTATTTCAGGCTTATTTTCAAATGCTTTCATTGTTTAGTTGTTTTTTAGTTGGATTATTAGCCATGTGTTATTATTTGTATTTATTATTTGTTCTTTTAATCTTCTCCAGTGTATCAGGGGTTGAAAGTGATTACATGTTCTCATGTAGATACTGTTATATGGTATGGGGCTATATAGATAAAAGATGAATTGAATGTACTGTAGATAAAGATTTTGAGACACTTGCACGCTATATTTTAACATTTCTTGAGACTTTATTTATTTATTTATTAGTTTAGGGAAATGTTGGATTTTTTCTCACCTCTGACAGATTAGGTTTACTACTTGCAATTTAAGATTACATAATGAAAAATCTTAGTGCACCTCGTAAAATATGAGGTAAAACTGTAAAACTGTTAAGCCAATAGAACAAGTCACAACTACAAGGCCAACTGAAGGACCTAAAACATTAACAAGCAGCATACAATGCATCCACAACTCAACACGAAGTCATCCTTCAGAACATGAAGTTAAACATTTCCCAATTTATAATTGTATACCTTTTATATAGCAAACGTTTTGAAAGCAGGGACTGCATGTTGCTACAAAGTTTTTTACATAGGCCACTGCTACCTACTGGTGTTTTGAAAAGGTAAAGGTTTTTGTGGAGAAAGGGTAAAATCTTTGCTATGCCATTCTTAACCAGATTACATCCAAATTAGTCTAATCACCAAAGAGTTAATGGATCTAAATCACCAAAAGGCCTCCAGGACAGAGAGCCCTTTTTAAAGAGGCGTTTTGCGCCACCAGGAAGGTTTAGGCAAGAGGCAAACATTTTAATTTAGGTCACACACACACACACACACACACGCGCGCGCGCGCGCACGCGTACACGCACACACGGAGAGGCTCCCAACTCCGACCCTCAAAATACCCACACGTTCGTGCAGCGGAAGTTTTTAAGCAACCTTATCTGAAGCTTTATCTGAGTTGGAGATGTGTTGCAGAAAGACAGGTCAAAGGGGACCGCGGGGCTGCTGCGGGACGAAGCATTAGGGATATGAAACACATGCCAGACCTGTCATGTTCAATTTACAGTTGACTGAAAAGTTAACTCTCCGGTAGAACTGAGGACGTGTTCAATTTGGTGGATAATTTATCATTCCAGACGATTCATCTTTTTGAATTTCCCTTTAAAATAATAATAGAACACAATGAAACTTTACAGTCAAACCACTCAAAGCAGCGGAAATCAATCACAGTGAACACATTTTCCTCATGTCTTTTGTCCTCCCCCCCCTCCGACCCCTCCCCTGTGCGTTTACTTTATTTCGCCAATTATTACAGCAAGAGCCGGGCCAGTGTTGACTCTCGCTGCGCCTGAGAAAGATCGTCCAGCCATTCATCAGCTCTCGAGGCGCACAAATAGTCTTTAAAACTATAAACACCATCACTGGGTCGGAGACAGGGGGACCCATTTACCCCGTGGCTGTGCTAAACGCTGTAGATAAAACAAACGATAATACTGTCTGTCTCCTGTGACCGTCTCCACAGGCATTAATGGCAGGTTTAGTGCCAACCGTGCAGGGGGAAACACGTGTCGGCTACGCGTCATTACGCACAGTTGTCTCCATTGTAATACCGTCCGGGGAAATTAGTTGTACTTTGTCATTTCTAAACCATACTTTATTGATTGCATGTTTAATTTGACAACATCTCATTTAACTATGAAGAATGCACGAATGCAAGGAGGCGGAAGTGTCTTTTTCCCCAGTGGAATTTACAGCTGATTGCTGGTCTTGGAATTGAACAAGAAGTCAGTGAAATTTGCGAAATCAAAAGCGTAAAAGCAATAAAATTGGGCTGTTTTATCGGTTAAAAACGTGGGTGTCATATATGACACCGCTTTAGGGCCTGCAGCGTGGGTGGGAGTGTGTGTGCAGGTTTGTTGTCGTCTGTTATCACGTCCTGATAACGCAGACAGTGGCTCCAGAATCTCTTGGAGGCAGACAGCAGAGTGTGTCGCTCCTGGTTTCAGGTTCCGTGTTGAGGGACCCAAAACCTGTTGTCTGCACCCCTCTTTCTTGGCGCTCGTCTGCTCCGTTTCCCATCGGATGAGGGCCGGGCCGACACCCCCCAAACACACGCACGCGCACGACCAAGCTTATCAGACGAATCAAGCCCTTTTATAATTCCTCCCAGTGCCCTAAATGATGCACGTTTTGACTCATTGGTCGCTATTATAGATCGTTGATGTTCACGGAGTTAGATAAATCATTTCTCTTGCTACTTGAATGTGTGTGTAAACATCCGTCTAAATGGCTGGGCTTGTAGAATTTACTGTAAACGCATTTGCATTGTGCGTAATGACCGGAAAACTGAAATATATGAATCTAAAAAGATATTTATTAAGTTTCACTCAATTTATGAAGTTTTTGAAACAAGTCTATCCTCAAACAATGCATGGTTATATTCCCAGCAGGATCAAGCTGATTTAGCAAATGCTTCTAACAAGTTAATTTTCTTTGGAAAGAGAGTAATTTGGTCTGGGTTGGTACATTTGGTGATTGAACGCATGTAGACGTACCAGACGTTACTTTACGTCACGAAATGGGAGTAGTACCAGTGGCTCCATGCAGAGTGTCCCACTGGCTCACCCCTCCCTCCCTGCGTCACCAGGAGAGGGAGGCCAAGAAAAAAGTTTGGAGACAGGGTTGACATTCAAAATGCACACTTCACTCAAGATCAGTCTGCGCCACCAAACTAATACTTAAATCCAGTAAATATTGCCAGGAAGGAGAGGGAGCTTGTTGACGTATTCTTTGTTACGTCCTATGACAGGTTAATAGATTTTTTTTTCCCAGTTCTTGCCAATGTTTCCCAGCCCCAGCAGCACGTCCACTCCCTTCTCTGTAAAGGATATATTAAACCTGGAGCAGAGTCATGACGTTACGGTGTCTTCTCTGGACGTTTCTTCTCGTATGGACTGCTGCACCGTGCCGACCTCCTCCTCCTCCTGCATGCTGGCCCGCCTGAAGCAGGAGCCTTTCCGGGACATGTCGTCCGCCGCCGCCTCGCTGTTTGCAGAAGACCTCCACGACTCCAGAGCCGGCAGAGGCAATGCACCCAACTTCGCCACTGCCTTTTATGGGAAAACCCTCATGGAGATGGATATAGTTAAGGATGGGGAATCAGACGCGTTTGAGGCGAAACGTAGAAAAGGTGAGCTGAGGAGGAGACAATTTGATTTTGCAGGCCTGTGCAGCAATGAGGCCCACAGGCTCGTGCTCGTTTGATTTGTGCGAAACGCATCAGCAACTCTAAAGCAATACGCAATCACACAGGAGACACTCTTATATAAAACAGGCTTCAAACCGGATGTTTTCAAAGTAAAAAAATATATAAAGTTGAGTTTATGGTTATCATTTTCTTGTAGGCCTGCTAGATTTATTTTTCCAAAGCACATTGAATGCATCATGGGAAGCCAAGGGAACTGAATTACTAACATTGGCACAAATTATCAATAGGCTAAGTAATATATTACAACATATTATATAGGCTATTATTATTATTGGTCAGCAGTATAGCAAACATAGCTCTAGGCCAAGTGATGAAAATAAATATCCATCCAGCCCCTTTGTTAACACAACTTTTGCAGATATATGTATATATTTTTTTCATCCTTTCTCTCTGTCTGGTGTGATCAGAGGAGTTCAGTCCTCCGACCGAGGCCGCGGAGGACATAAAAACCGACGACCCAGACCGAGCCAAGCCCCGGAGACGCAGGAAACCGCGCGTCCTCTTTTCGCAGGCGCAGGTGTACGAGCTGGAGCGCCGCTTCAAGCAGCAACGATACCTGTCCGCCCCGGAGAGAGACCACCTAGCCGGGGCGCTCAAACTCACCCCGACCCAGGTGAAGATCTGGTTCCAGAACAGGAGGTACAAGTGCAAGCGGCAGAGGCAGGACCAGAGCCTGGAGATGGTGTCCCTGCCGCCGCCCAGGAGAGTGTCGGTGCCGGTGCTGGTGCGGGACGGGAAGCCTTGCCTGGCGGGAGACACAGCCACGTACAACCCCTCCTACAGTATGGGTCACATCAGCCACTTCTCTTATAACAACTATCCAGCCTTCAGTAACTACACCGGCCCCAGCTGCAACACAAACTATGCGTGTAATTATCCTGCAGGCGCAATGCAAACTATGCAAGGATCATCCAGCAACGGGAATTACATGAACTTTGGGGTAGGGGACCTGAATAATGTGCAGAACACATTTTCCTCCAGTAATGGGGTGTCTTCGTTACATGGCATTAGGACATGGTAAACTATTAAACACGTGTGTTCCCTATTCAGTTTATCGGGATTATTTTATGACTGCATGCTTTTTTTTTCCATTGTGCCAAGACTTTGCGGAGTTTGTGTAACTACTCTTATATTTAATTATTTACTTTTTGTAGTTTTTTGTTTTAGTTATCAGCACAGTTGAATGATCTACATTTGTATTTATTTCAGTGACATTAGCAAAAAAAAAAAAAAAAAAAAAAAAAAAACCTAGGCAAACAGTTCTTATGTCAATTTAAAATGTCAAATAAAATCATTTCTTATTCTCATTTTATTAATGCTTTTTTTTCCTTCACACAATGGCTAAATATTTTACTTTTATTAATTCTACAAGGCTATTATTATTATTTGTCAATATTGCTGACATGCAACTATTTAATCCTAATGCTTTAAGTTGTTTGACGTAATAATTTGCCTCTGACTTTCAATCCCTAAATCATAAAAGAAAATATAAAAAATATAAAACAAAAGTATATAATATGTCATAGTGAACTATGGTCACATAATGCTTGAACTGGACCATAAAACCTGTCGGCCCTCATGTGGTTTGTGTCTGGTTAAAATGTTCAAGTGGCTATTAGGGAGCTTCCTTCAATATGCTTAAACAAGGTTAAAAGGTTGTTAAAAGTTTACACTTTTAACAAGCCGCTGTCAGCCGCATGTTCGCTCTCCACGCATGTTTAAAGCTGTTGGGACAGAGATGGCTGTGAGCCGTGACCTTGACCTGCAATATATGTTATTAAATTAAGCTCTGCTGAGGAAATGCTGTTTTTAACAAACGTTTTGATTTTCATTGACTGTATTTTGTGTACAAGCATTTTATATACAATCTGGCAAAAGCCATCCTGACAGTCAGCGACCTTTTCTCTGTACAAATTCAAGATGTTACCTGATCCAAGATATTAATCTATTGTTGAACAATACTTGATTATTAAAGACTCCTGTTTTGAAAAAAATAAATCTGTCTTTGCTAAATCGTTACTTGTATTGATGTATTTGAGAGTTGACCAAGTTTAACGGGGCTCACAGTGAGAACGTACAGATAATGAATAGAACAGATAAATAACTGAACAACTTCAGCTGTAGAAATGACTACATGAGGTGGAGGGATTCTGTCTGGTTGTTTATGGCATCAGTGTGGGGCAGTTTACGCTCCCCCTGAGACCCCAGTCCACTTGTCCAGATACAAACCCAAACACTTGATTGACACTATCACAGTGCTAAATGCAAGAATAGTCCAATTTGCTCGACAGAGAGCCAGAGGCCTCGTCTAAGTGTGCAGTTATAAACAGGCTAGCTCTGCCCAACTGCCACCACTTTACAGGAGTAAGAGACGCTTAGTCATCTCTCAGGTCTCTCCACACACGCTCTGTCGTCCCATCTCTTTTTAAACAACACACGGTCGAGAAACATGTCAAACATCAAGCCAGACGACTTTATGTTTATTGATGATCAATATGGACAACATGAACACATATTAAACAAAATGGCAATGCCATGGCAATTGCAGAGGGTAGCAAGGTCATGTATAGCTCCTCTGGCCACCCTCTCCTCCGAGGTGTTGAAAAGGCAATGTCAGATAACAGCACCACACAGACCTAAAAATATCCCCCCCCCCCCCCCCCCCCCCCCCCCCCCCCCC